CTACCTACTACCTACTACCTACTACCTACTACCTACTACCTACTACCACTACTACTACTACTACTACTACTACTACTAGTACTAGTACTACTACTACTACTACTACTACTACTACTACTACTTTACTAGTTTACTACTTTACTACTGTACTACTGTACTACTTTACTTTAGTACTTTAGTACTTTAGTACTTTTCCTAGTCCTACTCCTACTACTACTGTTCTACTTCTACGACTTCCGATAACACTATCATAATACTGATCAAGAGTAGCAACAATAGCAGGTTCGGTAAACCAACACGTGAGCTCTCTTGTGTACCTGTAGAATGCTTGTGCAAGGGGCCCGCCTCTCCAGCCTCAGCACGCTGCACACGGCCGAGGAGTTCTTCCTTTGCTTGCTTGACCTGTGGTTTTTTCTGGTATCCTAATCCTTTGCGATTGTTCGTTTCAGTCGTGTTCGTAGAAACAGAGGTTCGACCCGTGCCTATCACTGTCGTTACTTCTGTTGTTGATCGACAACCACTCTATCACCATCACCAGTCTATCAACAGTCAGACTGTCCAAGCATAGCCCCTGGGATCTGCATGGAGTTTTCGGTGCTCTGGACTTCAAAGCACCAGAGGCGACAACCCCGCCGGGCTACGAACGAGCCAGTACTGCAGTCCGGGACCCAAAATCTGTTGCAACATGCAACAGTGCAAACTCGCCCCGAGCTTCGACTCAAAAGCAGACTTAGCTTATCATTTCCCCAATTTGAGCCTCAGTGTACCCGGAAGCGAACCACGCCTCTACGGACTGCTCGATCTCAAGCCTCCTAATGAAAGCGGCCTGCTCCGCCGTCCCAGGTCCAATGAAGGCGGTAAGGTGGCCACCCTCGGAAGGCGGCATGAGCCTCGGAAGCCGGACTGCCCTCTCTCGGGATCAGCTCAGTGCCCTTTGCGGAGAAGGTGTTCGGCTCCATTTGGCATCTTGCGGGTTGCAGAGTTTTTGTCGTGTCGGGCTCAGTTTGAGTCCGCGTGGCGCGATCATGACGCCGCCGCAGCGCTCGCGCACCTCAGCAGAAGACTATTTCGCTGGCACAGGTCAGGAGCTGTATCGTGGTGTATCCAAATTTGCCTGCAACCTCAAAGTTCAATGGCGAAGGAGGATGAAGGAGGCGCCTGTCCTTCAGGCGATGCTTCTATCGAAGTAACAGCAGTTGGTATCCATGAGACATCGACGAAACACTCAAGATATCTGCAGGAAACGTGGCCATCGTGAGCACAATCATCAACACTGCTGCGGCCATAGCCAGCACCAGTTCTTTTCAGATGGTGGTCTGGTGGTGCACCAACACCATCGTCAATTTCACCGTCGCTGCCGTGACGTTTAATATCACCAGCACCATCAGTCCCAACGTCGCAACCCCACCCCACCCCCAACCTCCACATCACCTTGATGACCAGCATGGCCAGCCCTGACTATCACCTCCATCACTGCCATCATACACACACACACACATATATATATATATAAATCCGTTATACTGCGATTGAGACGGCGGCACCTTTGGCAAGTCCGAACCGTTGGGGCCGACCGCGGCGCTCAGCACCTTCTGCGGGATTTCCACCTGATCCTTCGTTGCACATCAAGAGACCCTCGACCCTGCTCAAAGCTTTCCCTCGAAAGAAAGCACACCAGGGAAATGATGTGCTATAGCTTCTGCTAACTCTGACTAACACGCTTCCTTCTCGACTGGTTGCCCAACTATCTGCTAGCCTATGCTACCCATGTCCGACTGCGGCCGCAGCTCCATGTGCTCGCTGTCAGCCAGCAGTTTTGCCTTTTTCTCAGCCTGTTCATTCGCCACCCTCTGGCTTCGGGACCCTAGCTGCTAGCTGCTCTCAGCAACACTCGCCTGCCTCACCTGCCAACAACTCATGCTCGGAGTCTTGCACGACGACAGCATGCACTTGTAGCTTTGTTCGCTTGTTCGCACATCTCATCATGTTCAGATGGCTGAGGTTGTTGCCTTCACAGTAGTCTCGTGTACAGCTTGTGCAAAACTAGGCTTGCTGACTTGTCGGATGGCAGGTCTAGAAGCATACATACAAGGAGTCGAACTCAAATTCGGCATTCCCAAGCTAGATCCATGTGATGGTACATAACAAATGCATTCCATCAGCGGACAGCAGGGTTTGGGGTAAGCCGGGCTTGTAACACATTTCTGCCCACATCACCGACCCCATGTCGATGCCTGTAATCTGCTAGTATTGCTCCGGGGTGTCTGCTCTAGGCTTCAGATCAAAGCAGGCGCCGCGCTGCTCAGTTGTCGCGGTATTGGCCTCCGTGAAGTCGTCAAACATCTGCTGGATCTGCACGGCAGCTTTGCCAACGGCTTCGCTGGTACCTGCACGAAGGCACGCTTCATAGCAAAGCTGCCTACCCTGGACTGTCGCTCATATCTGAGCTTCGAGTCACTGAAGACTATGTCCTGAAGCCACCATGCAGGTCTCATACTCGGGGCCTTCCACACAGACGGCCGTGTCTGTCGGGCTCGCCCCCTGCTGCACACTGATGTTGGCACCAGATTCCTCAGGCAAACCCACAAGAAGATCACTACATAGCCATGGCTCTATCATCATCATTCAAGTCAGAATGACACCCTGCATGTTCGACGACAGTCACGTGCTCGACACAGGGGACAACGTCACAGCGGCTCAGAAAGGCTTCCAAGGTTTCCAGGCCTTATACCACATCTGGGAAGAGTAGATTGACACGAAAAACCTGCAGAACATGCCCACGATGACTTGAGGCACGTGTTCGGCAGTTTTCAGCTAGTAATCCAAGTGAAACATGAAAAGCTCAACACTAATGCAGCTAGCTACAGTACAGTAGCACCTCTTGAACAAGAACGGCTAAGGACAGCCTTAAGCTTTGCTGAGGTGCAGCCATGACAGCCACGAGGCCACCCTCGTGCTGCAAGGGTCCGGCAAAGCTCGTCCTTTGGACTATGCTATGTCGCTTGCCAGCCGGGCTCTGCAACCCGTACCGAAGTCTCCCGAATTCACCCCGTGTCCGCGCCTGCGAGTTCTGTCTGTCTTCTTCTGCTGTACGGCATAATGGACAACCTCCTCCCCCCATTTCACACTTAAAGCGGACCAAGGTTCACACTCGGACTTGCCAGCTACCAGCAGTGACTTGAAGCACAGCAAAGGCATGCGCTTTGCCCTTCCAGATCTAGACCTTCTTCACCTCCCTTCTGCTTCTTCCACTCTCTCTCTCACTCAGTCTCTCGTTCCTCTGCATCTTCGTCGTCGAGTTTACTTCGGTTCGCCAGTGTCCGATGCCTCAGAACCCCCCTGCTGCTGCTCGCTCTCTCTCTCTCTCTCTCTCTCTCTATGTCTCTCTTTGCTTTGCTTTGCTAGGGGTAAGAGGAGGTGGCAGTCCCANNGCTCCAAGGCGCAACCCCGTCCATCATGTTGACAGACGGAGGCTCTTCTTCCTTCGGGTCAGAGGAGCGTCTCAGGCTCCCCGGCCCATAGGGCCCCCCAGCGTTCTGGGGACACTCTCCCCGAAAGCCCCAGAACGCTGGGGGGACGGAGGCTCTCTCTCTCTCTCTCTCTCTCTCTCTCTCCCTCCCTCCCTCTCTCTCCATCTTTGCCTGCTCCGTCTTCTTGAGTGTGGTATGCCCTCGCTTTTCCATGCAAAAACGCCGCCACAACAAGCAAAGTTTCCAGACCTGGCAGCGTTAAGGCTTGTGATCTGTCCAACTCAAAACACCACGACGAACATCAAAAGTGTGCAAGCACATACAATTTAGGATAGCTGCTTGTATATCGGCACAGACACACGCACGCACACACACACACACACCGCACAGGACCCGCTTTCAAATACGAACTACTAGTCTAAGTATCATCTCCGCAGCTACTGCTCAGAGCGTCGGAAATGAAAGCGTGCGCGATACAAGCCGGGAAGCCTGGCGATGGCACAATGCAGAAACGGCACATGCAGGTTCTCAGCATTGCAAACGTGCAAAAGCTCAGTCGCTGCCGTGCGAATCTGCTGTGTGACACCCATCTAGAGCACTGCTTGATTCACCCTCACTTACCACAGGAACCAGAATACAACTCGAGGCACCAAGCGGGAATGCTTCGGCTTCGTCTCTCGACATCGAGCTGCCATGTTTGCCCTGGCTCTGTACGCACAACAAGAAACTGACCTGCCTCTCTAAAAACCAGTATGCACCTCGCTGGATATCAGTGGGGTGGCATCATGGCTGGGAGAGAAGGACAAAAAACGCATGCACCCTAACGGGCGACTACGAGTCGTCCGCCATCTAGCACTTCAGCGACCGTTCAAATCGCAAACGTTTATCTCAAAATTCAGAGATCAGTGCCTGACATGCAATGAAGACCCCAAGCTGCCTCGTCCACATCCACCGGGGCTGACTGCGACAGCAGTGCAGCAGCCGCCGCGGCACCACCGCGACGCTTCAGAGTCCGGCTGCGAGATGAAACTGAAGCAGGGGACGTATTGTAGTATACTATCTCTCTATCTGTGTTCTATCTACTATCTCCATCTATCTGAACCTATATGTATATCTGTGTCTACATCTGTATCTATATGCAATTTTTGGCTGTATCCACCCACATACCTACTATCTGTGTGTACAATCAATATGTATATATTTATATATGTGTGTATGTCTGTCCGTCTGTCCGTCCATCCATCCGTCCGTCCGTTGTTCCGTCGTTCCGTCCGTCCGTCCGTCCGTCCGTATGTATGTATGTATGTATGTATGTATGTATGTATGCGTGTGTGTGTGTACGTGCATATATATATATATTTATAATATTCACACATGCTAGTCATTGTAAGATGTCTCACCTGGAATCTCATAGGTTGAATATCGACTTTGCACCAGCCATCTGAAGCTCCTGTGGCATAAACTCCGGCTCTCGTTTGATGTCTACAACATCTCACACGGTGGAACATCTGAAAAAGTCCTTGAGCCCCAACAATCCGAAATCCAAAGGAACTTGCGTCCAAACTAGCGCTCCCGCATTCAATTTCAGGCACTTGATTTGACATGTAGTTCATGAAAATCCGGATCGCGAAAGGTACGAAACAGCCTATCACACGAATACTTGAGCCTCCGTTTTGGGGCAAGGCCTACGATTTCCAGGAGGCTTCGACCCAGCCTGAGCTGGAGCTGTCAGAATCGGACTCCACAAGCGTCACAGCGGCGCCTTCGGTGACAGTCACTGCAAGGATTCAGCCCCTCAGCCTCAAGCCCTGAACGGCCCAAAGGCCCAGACCTGGCAGAGCAGCTTCAGGTTTTAAAGACAGCCCCCCGCCCCCAGAATATGCCTGGGAATTGTCGTATTGCACCTTGCGATGTTCCAGCTTGGAGGCGAGAACCACTGCCGCAGCATTTTCCAAAAAAAGCCAGCTTCACTTCCGAAACGCTGTGGCAGCATAACAGCTGCAGCGAGATGATTCGACTCTCCTTACAAGCGTTCAGATACCCATATAGTATATACCTTGTCGATAAAGTACGTAGACCCCTTCATGCTACACCTCAAAGCCTATATACACTGCCTACACCTTCAAACCCTGAAGTACTAGGACTTCATTTTCAGTATCTTGCAAAGCAGGCTTTCAAGGGATATTAGTACTAACTATCCAGACCTCTACTCTATCTTCGCAACGAGTGCCTTTGCGGCGTTTCGAAGGTCGAGTATTGTTGGTGCTGGACGGCTGGATGCACACTTCCTGCAACTGGAAAGCTTACTGTGTACTGTCGCGGGGCTTCTGGATGCGTAAATTCCCGAAACACCTCGTGGTCAAAAGATGCAGCTGGCACCGCGACACAATGGCATTTAGACACCTGCGTGCTGCACAAAACCCACGAGGATCCGGTTTGCTGAACCCTGCCCGTGCAGCAGTCCTCATCTGCATCATCGTCAATGCAAACGTTTGCCCTTGGTTCAGTTGTCGAACTTTGCGCCACAGCTGCAGCTATGCAGGCCATGATCTGCCAATACAATCGGAAGCAAACAACCCTGTCATCCGCGAAAATGATGCTGTCAAAGGCTGGCACTTAGCAGCACCTGCTGACGAACCTGTCACCTCGAGTCAAGGATGCACCACGCGACAATCAGATCTGCCTGCATGCTTCTGTGCTTTGGCTTGGGTTTCAGAAGCTCGAGGTTCAATTTCAGGAGCGGGGGGCTCCGTTGCCCTTTCGGGCATCATGTCTGCGAAGGACTCCTAACAACATGGCACGGGAATCGAATCAGCGGACTCCAGGCCGGAGTTCAAGTGAAGCTGCGAAATATTGCTTATGTGTGGGCGTATACAAGTACTTGTATACATGCAGGCGCAAAGCTACACATACATGTAGGCAAGCAGATCAAAAGACCAAACCGGCATATATGGACCATATATAGAGAAACATGTGCATGTGCGTATCTGGGCATACATACTTTCATACATACATGCACGCATGCACGGGTACATCCATAAATCCACCCATACATACACACGTAGACACACAGATAGACAGACAGACAGACAGACAGACAGACAGGCAGACAGACATCAACAGGTATATGCATATACACGCCGAGTATGCATGTATGGGCCTTTGCAAATGGCAATTGAGTATGATGTGTATGCATGTATGCAGGCATCCATTCATGGAGGTAGGTACGTATGGTTGAATGCACGGCATGTGCTGCATGTACATATAGATAGAACAATAGACATAGATGCGAATATACACATAGATAGATGTAGATGTAGATACAGACATGGATAAAGACATAGACATCGATACACATGTAGGTATTAGGTACGTAGATAGGTATACAGATAGATAGATCGAAAGATTCGAAAGGCCTGCACATACATACATGAGCTTTACTAGCTCTTTGGAATCTGTGCTAACCAGAAGAACTAACAAACCTGGACGCATTAAATCCGGGCCACCTTTCAGTGACCCAAGCCGGTTGAAATAACAAAGGGCAAAAAAAACAGGACAACTAATTGAACTAAGTGTTTCAGTATTCGGGGCTGAGGCCCTGGGATCAGGAACTGATACACTAATTCAACTGTCTTCTTGAATTCGCAGCTGGCCAGAGAACCACCGTTTTGAATGTCTGAAAACGGTTGAGGCCAAATGGACCCCAACGGACACTCCCATGTGTACATATGTATATATATATATAGACAGACACGTGTGTATATATATATATATAGAGTCATAAACGTACATGAATACTAAATATATATATATACACATGTAGATACATACGTATGATTGTGTGTGTATGTATGTATGTATGTATGTATGTATGTATGTATGTATGTACGTACACACATGCATGCATGCATGCATGCATGCATGCATGCATGCGTGCATGCCTTCCTTCTTTCATTCAATCATTCGTTCTTTCCATTCTTTCACTGCATTTCATTTCATTTCGTTTCATTTCATTCGAGTCCATTCCATTCATTCAGTTCATTTCACTTATTCATTCATTCATTCATTCTTTCTTTCATTTGCATCCTTCATTTGCATCATTCATTCATTCATTCATTCACTCATTCATTCACTCAACTCATTCATTCATTTGTTCATTCATTCCATTCACTCCATTGATTCATTCAATCATTCATTGGTTCGTTCATTCATTCATTCGTTTCCATTTCATTAATTCATTCATTCAGTCAGTCAGTCAGCCGGTCATTCATTCATTCATTCATTCATTCATTCATTCATTTCACTTCGTTTCATTTCATGTGGTTTAATTTCAACTCATCTCATCCCATAAACTTCATTTCATTCCATTTCATTCATTCCCTTTAATTCATTTCATTTCGCTTTGTTTCATTTCGTTTCCAATCATTCATTCATTCCGTTCCATTTCATGCATTCACTCATTCATTCATTCATTCAGTCATTCATTCATTCATTCATTCATTCATTCATGACCATTCAGTCAAAAGTTCATTCATTAATTCAATCATTCATTCCATTCGTTCATTCATTCCATTTATTCCAATTATCCATTCGTCCTTTCATTCATGCATTGGTTCATTCACTACTTCATTCATGTCATGGTTCATTCATTCATTCAATCATTCACTCGGTTTCATGCCACCCCATTTCATTTCATTCATTGATTCATTCCTACATGCATACATATATACATATATACGTATATACATATATACATATATACATATACATATACATATACATATACACATACATATGTATATGTATATGTATATGGGTATATATGTGCGTGCGGTATGTTTGTACTTGTCAGCGTGGGGGGGGAGTGTCTCCCGCGATTTGCTGGGCTGCCTCTCCAAGTGTCTCGGTTCCGTCCCATTCTCTAACAGCATGTATGCTGACCGCAGAATAGGCGTTGGCGTTATGCGAATGCAATCCTGCAGCTTTCCAGAACCGTTGCAGCGACAGGCCATGACAGGCCTCAACTTCTGCGCAAACATCTTCGTCAACGTCTTCCACGATCGCCACCATGGCTTGCCCAGCTGTACCGGGTACGGCCGAAAAACCGAGTATCCAGTACCGAATGAAATTAAGTACTAGCACGTGCATGTTCAAGGATCTGTTGCACCACCACGCCAAGAGAGTAGTTCATCCTTTCAGCCTGGAGTCTGTGGCACATGATTTGGGTCAGAACTGACCATGCCAGCCCTGCCTGCCCCTGCATCGACAAAATTGTGCTAGACGACCGAAACGAAAGAAAGCGAGACGAGTTGCCTGCACATAATAAACCAATTACATGCAATTACGGCAAAGTTGCGTCCATGTCCAAGAACAGGAGGCAGGGCCAAGACATAACAGTCACACAGGACGCAACACCATCACCTCTGCCACCAAAACCGCCCCCGCCCGTCCGCCCGCCCGCCCCGCCACCCACCCAACCCAACCCAACCCACCCCAACCATACCCAACCCAACCCAACCCAACCATACCCAACCCAACCCCAACCCCAACCCCAACACAGCCACACAGCCCACAGCCACACCCTCAGGCAGGCAGGCAAGCAGGCAGGGAGGCAAAGCAAGCAGAGCAAGCAGAGACAGGCCAAACAAAGCAGGCAAGCAGGCAAGCAGGCAAGCCAGCAAGCAAGCCAGCAAGCAAGCCAGCAAGCAAGCCAGTAAGCAAGCCAGCAAGCAAGCCGGCAAGCAAGCCAGCAAACGAGCCAAGCCAAGCCGAGCCAAGCCAAGCAAGCCTAGCAAGCAAACCAGGCAAAGCAAGCAAAGCAAGGCAAGGCAAGCAAGCAAGCAAACCTGCAAACAAAGTAACAGCTACATAGAAAAAGGAAGAGTACTTGCTACAAGCCAGTAGCTACAGAGGACACCGCCAAGGCCGCGACAGTACGATGTGCACAGTTTGTCGGTGTCTATTTGCGTGCTTGCCGAGCCTTACCACCTGAGAAGAAGCAAAGTGAGTCGCCGGGCATGATATAGGGACCCAACTAGAACAGATATCAGGGATGCTTTGCGAAGCACGTATTCCGACTCCCGACCCTTATATTCTGTTGCGCTGACTCTTCTGTTTCTGCCCAAGAAGCAGTTGGTCGACTGTCGGACGCTCTGTGGCTGACTTGGGCTGTGGCAGTCATTGTCCACAGAAGGTCAAGCCAGCTCGGGGCTAACATAGGGGCCGCAATAATCAAAATATATGGCTTTGGGCTTATTTTACTATGACTAGAGGGAGGAGCCCTTAGGAAACATGCTGGTACTTTCAGGCCCCTATATTTTCTGCAAGCCCGGCACTACAGTCACAGCGGGAAATGCTGGGATCAGACGGGGGTCTCCGAATGACACATAGTGGGCGGAACTCCACTCCGAAACTTCTTCGGCGCTTTGATCGTGAAGATAGTTTCATGGTTGCGCATCATGCAGATAACCAACAGCCAAAGTGCCACATCGAGGCCATTGGCATGATACTGCTCTTCACTGTAGCTTGTTATCCAAATCCGCAGCCCCAGAGAAGAGGATTCGGAAACCAACCTTCCAATCGAGAAAACCATCCAAACACAGCCGCAGCACTTCGCCGAATCAGCGAAGCGGGACCGATTGGGGTACTTGGGTTGGGGGTGGTCAGCAGCTCAAGAGCAGCCGTAGGGTTTAGAGTTTAAGGTTTTGGCAGCTATCCCGAAAAGCATCACGCAAAGCGGGGCTCTAGTGTGGCGCTTGATCTGTGGTTTGAGCGTCAGCCCCGAACACGCTTCGACATGCACTTGGGTCAGGAGGGCTCTGGAGAGCGCGACATTGCAAGATTAAGTGGCTTCGGGTTTGAAAGTCGCTTAAAGGGGCTCCATCCCTAGAGGTTCTCACTTCCAAATCTCAAGTCCCTTGAGCTGGGATCCTGGGATACCGACACCAAACCACAGACTTCCTTGCTGCGGGTCTCCCGCTAGACCGCTAGAGTCGGACCCTTGCTTTCAGGGGCCAGCCATGTCTTGAATGGTCTGGTGGCCTGGAACTCACAATGGGCGGATCGGCGGCTCCGTTTCGCCGAGCTCCTTGTGCCCAATCCCTGAAACGACTGCAAGGTAATTACCCAAATGGGACTTTGCAGCCAAGCATAGGGTCTCACAACCTCTTGACCATCGCACACCTGTCACCACCTGTCACCTGATACCACGACGATCCCCAGACCCGACCGATTCAGCTGTCCCAGTAGATGCAGTTCGGTGATTTTACGAAGTCGCAGTCCTCCTTCTGCTTCCTTAGATCTCGCTGCTGAGTGGTGCCACAGCGCTACCCTGGACTACGACAGTTGATCAACTACAATAGTCATCCCAACCTTCCTGAACCCCAAGCCCCTGAAGCACCAGCAAAAAACTAATGCCGTACAGGAACTCCTCAGTTTCCTGCAGCTCCCGAAGCTCTTCCTGCACCTGCACTGCCATGGGCGCCCAGTTCTTGATGAGGCTCATGGTTCGCAGTCCGCCCACTACAGGTTTTTTGGAGAATTAAGGT